TCAGCTGTTTTTTTTTCCTTTTTTGCCTAATTTGGGTCTATTTGTAATTAGGAGAGCTTCTGGTATCGGCTTAGTTGTTAGGAAGTGAATAACAGCCAGGCACCACTTGTGTGGCTTGTTTTCAATATGACCTATTTATGTTGCATGCAGTCTTATAGCTGGTTTTATTATTCCATAACAATTCTTCTAATTTCTTCTCAGTTATCTTGGAAATGGAATAATGGCAGCACGACTCACCATGCTGGGTGCTGTGGGTGCACAAGGTACTGTGTTCAACTCAAAGTGAAGCGTGCTTTGTTGTCGTCATTATGAATGATGCTGAAGCTAATGAGGGTACGACAATCTGTTTGCCTTCTAAAATACAAAGCAATGACAATCACAAGATTTTAGGGGTATATGTTATCAACTGGATCAGTTATGAATTGTTAATAATTCATGAATCATCTAACTTTAGCGCATCACCTTTGAAAGAAGGGGGAAAAAAATCTATAAATCGATTATTTATATAATTTTCAGTCTATAATGTAGTAAATTACCCTAAATAATGAGTCATTTTCTTTAGAGTAATATCATTAGATTTAAACACACATACAACTGAATTACGTTTTGACCGATAGGAATATAATGCCTAAGTTATGGTGAGTCTGAATGATGAAATATGTTCAGAAGTGATCCTATTAGGTAAAGGTGTTGCTTTGAGGCAAAAAAATGGAATTTGACATATTATAGGTTGAGGGGGCAGATTTAACTGAAATCAAACAAATTAAATTAAATTAAATGTTGGCAGAAATTCTAAAATTGGAAAACTTATCAGACTTGTTGAATTGGACTGCTGTTTCTATCTGGGAGCACCACGATAGCCAGCAGATGAGTTGTTTGTCCTACTGAGCCGTAGTTCTGGCTCAGCTCCTACGGTGGATACCAGGCAAGTTTTGTGGCCGGATCCAGTAGGTGATGTTGGAAGCGGATGATTCCCGAGAGAACATGTGTCAGCTGATTGAGACGGGTGTCTCCCTCTGCGGATGGTTAAGGCAGTGAGCTGGGAGTCTTGGTGTTTAGCCAGTTGGTGCTTAGGCAGAAAACTTCTGAGGTTGACAAAAGAATCTGGCTCTGTGCAGCCTCAGTTCTGGAGCAGTCCAATTATTTGAGGAGGAGAATGTGCCCAAAATGTCAGAGTTTAGCTTAAAGTTCTGAATGGCTTTACTTTATAACTTTGCCTGAAAAATAACCCACAGTAGTTCTGGTCGACGCACTAAACTTGGTAAAATGTTTCTGTCGCCGAAAAACAGAACTTGAACAAAGAATGACTGGCAAAGCTTGACAAACAAAAACACTACAAAGCAAAAGGTAAAATAATATGCAAAAGTGACGAGAAGAAGAAAATTAAGATTAAAACAAGACAAAAATAAAATTAAGAATGAGAATTAAGAGCAAAGAAACGAGATAAAACAAGTGTGAGTGTCTTGTTTTAAAGTTTTAGAGTGGGCGTGTTTTTGGAATGTTTTGTCCAGTCAAAATGACTACATTTAAATAAAGATGGGAATTTTAGTGGTGTTCAATCAATGAGCCTTGAGGTCTAGTTTACACAGCTCAAACAAAGATGAGGCAGGACCCTAAATTTACTTTCTTTTTGCCCCAAAGTTTTTAACAAATCAACAGAAAGAGAAACACTATGATTACTTTAACTTTAACATTGAATGTCAGTGTTTCCCCTAGTTTACTTGCCTTAGCAGGGCACTCATATCGTCCGTGATTTTTGTCGAAAGGGTGGTGGTGGAGATGGATTCTGTGTTGCACGCTGTTTGTACTGTCAGTTTTCGAGCGGGGCGAGGTGGAGACGGCTCAGCGTGAGGGTGACAGAGAGCTACCTCCATCGTCATAGCTTTTTAGCTAGTGCATCTCTATTGCACATCGCTAGCTTAGCACTACGTCAGTGCCAGCAATTGTCAATGGGGTACGGGTTCAGTAGGCAGGGTGCTTGGTTCTATTGACGGGGCAGGGCACCCTGTTGTGTAATGGTAGGGGAAACACTGAATGTAATCACTCTAACACAAATGAAATCTAGCGGTCAATTGTTATTAAAGAAACTAACATTGCATGCTTAATACAATTATTCAACAAATCAACATTTCAAATTCAATATTATCACCTTTAATTTTATCTAGATTCATACTACAAGTATAAAGAAAATATAACTTCAACAAAATGGGATAATAAACCAGGAAACAACTTTTGGGTATAAGAAAATTATAGGAATGTGGGAATTGTGAATAAACAAAAAGCATGACTTTGCAGAGAAAAAAATCACACAAAAAAAACAATAAAATTTTTTCAACTTAAATGTTCTGGAGTATGGAGTCATTGGCAACTGAAAGAAAGTGTGGTTAATGCAGCATTTTCAGAGAAGGCATGAATATTGTAGACCAGAAGAATTAATGTTTTAACAGAAAATATAGAAAATAAAATAAGTTGATCACCTTGTCCATGAGACATAACGAAAAGGTGGTTCCAGTCTGAAGGGGAAGCTGCTGGTTCATATTGATATGGAGGGAAGGAGATTCACCTTTGGGTCATTCTTTGAAGTCGAACTAAAATAAATTTACAACAGGTATGAGGTAGTCCGGGATGTGCCTTGGATCGGTTAGAAATGTTAATCTCTGATGATATCAACAAGTTTTCAGTTTATTGTTGACTTTGGAATTCAAGGTGTCTGTTGAGGATTAACAAACAGGGATTTTTCAATCAGTCAGCATTCTTTTTCTCTGATAAAAATCAACAGAGGCCTTTTTGTCCCTCTCCAGACATTGGCGATTTAATTAGGTGAAACAGTCCATTTGCATTAAGTTGAGAATGAGAGATGCAGGATGCATGTTATTACAAGCTTTTATTTGGTGAAGTAAGAAGATTCACAAAAATCAGAATTCTGATGTATGGCACTACATTTCCCCTACTTGTGATTTACAACCTGGTTCCAAGTATGGTGAATCACACCTAATAGTGTCAATTTGACAGAAGTATTCCAAATGGTTACTTAGTTAGATTCCAACATAGTTAAAGGAATAATTCCAAGACAGGGTCAAGGTAATTCCATACAAAGTCAAAGGGGTCCTCTGGAGGGCAGTATAAGTTTGACCTCTGGGAGGATGAGGTAAACCACAGGAGGAGGTAGGTTAGACCATTTGTCTGGTGACTTCTACTCCCTTCTAACTAAGTATATAACTAATTTGTAATTTAATGGAAATAAAATGGAGAGAAAAAAATAAAAAGTGTGCATATCTAAAGTCAAATGAAGTAAAAGAAAATTATATGACTACTGCCATACTTTCCAGTCTATAACCCACTACTTTCCTCACAGGCTTTGAACCCCGCGGCTTATACAATGCTGCGGCTAATTTATGGAATTTGTTTTTTTCTGTGACTGGCTAACGAGCTTCCTGCCACCAAAAACCTTTAGCTTTGTCACACCTAGGCACTTGCATAGCTGCCCATTACACGCCATCTTGTGGGGTGGGTCCTTGTGACTTTTACTGTTTAACACGCATACAGAGTGGAAGAGGGGGAAATCTCTCCTCCCCATTTTCTCCTCCCCTCCTCGTATCATTGATTCAACTGTGACCTGTTCGGTTATTTCATTGGTCAGATTAAAAAAAAATATTTATTTATAAAGGTAGTCTCATCAATACACATCTGTCTTGGGGGGTGGGTTCTCGTGACACAATGAGACTACCTTATTGATTAATTGTGGTTGACTGTCGGTCATATGGCCTCAGGGAGGGATTATGGGTAAAATTTATGTTCATTGTTAATCATTTTGGTTAGCTGTTTAGCATTGTTTTTTGTTATTAGTCTGTTCTTCTTATGCTTCTTATGTGTCAGTTTGTGTTAGGCCATTCAGTAGGTTAACCATGAGTGCGGGAGGTAGTTGTATTGAAGAAGACCTGTTGGGGTTCACTCTTTCTTTGTGTGTTGAACAGTAAAATAAAGTCTATGAAACACCATCTGGTGGCTGATTCTTGATCTACAACAAGAGCTGCATATTTCTCTCGGTAGCTGTGTACTGCCATTCATCTTATAATGTGCACATCTGCGATGTATACACAAGGGCGGCTTGTGTATGTGCAAAATTGTTTTTTATTTAGTGTGCGCAACTTATATTTGGGTGAGCTCTATAGACTGGTAATTACGGTAAGCTAATAGGGGTTAGGGTTGGGGGATTCTAACGCCACTCATTATATATATGCACAAGCGGACAGAGGTATACAAGCAGGTATTCCAAAGGCCGCTACACTACTGACACTACAAAATAGTTTTCTTTTTTTCTTTCAAGGACATACTTCCAGTTTCTGTCCTAATATACATTTTATGTACTACCCTGGGAATAATCACAGGAGCACTTCAGCAAAAACTGTGTGCTATTGGACTCTTTTTGGAGCAGGCTCAGTGATAAGGTTTAGTGAAGCTTGTGAAGGAGCTAGAAGATTAATTATGTCTGTTCTCTCACAGGGTTGGAGTGGCAAGTTTTTAAAAGTTCCTGCCTGCCCAATAAGTTCAGGGATGAATGGAGCTTTGGAGGACTAACCTATCAAGTGAGCGGATACCCAGAAGGTGAGATCCAGTTTAATTATGAGATATGTTTTAAATAAATCCAATCCTACTATTTAACTAATGTTACTGTTTATGTAATTTCGTTGTGCTTAGGTGCAATGACAATAAAGTTGATTCTGAAAAAGAATGTCCGTAACATCGAAAAGTTGCCTTTTGATCAGGAATAAATGAGGTCATAGGACATTTTTAAACGTGTCGCAATTTAACGTCCGCAGCAAATATATAAATTTAATGCTATATAAAAATATATAGCATTAAAATAGACATAGCTAAATTACATATTGATTGCAATGCTCTGAAAGGAGATGAATAATTTACTGTACGATCTCTGTTTTTCCCTCTTCAGGTCATGCAGGATACAAGCTTTGTTATCAAGAAGTACTCAAGGTGGTGAAGGGGATTATTCATCAGCCATACGTGTTCGAAGAAAGCAACGTTTTCTTTGCCTTCTCTTATTACTTTGACAGAGCTGTGGATGCGGGCCTTATCGGTTAGAGCACACACACCTCCTGTCCACACCTTATATAATTATACAAACCCAGCATGCTAGACAGAGGCAGAAAAATGTGAGTCATCTGCTCCCATATCAGGGGATTTGATGAGCCATACTTGTGGAGGTATTACAGAAATTGCTATGCCTCTGCCAGTCCACACTCTTTAAGGCCATCAGCTCTGTTATTAGTACTATAAAAATGTGCATGTAGATGTGTTTTTGTAATTACTGTTTTGGCATTTTAAATGTATAATGACTCCCTCTGTGTTGCAGATGGAGTCCAAGGAGGGATGCTGCAGGTCAGAGACTTCAAGAAGAGAGCTAAAGAGGGTGAGACGAGCAGATATACATCATTACTATAACAGATCCCCCCCCCCCCCTACTTGAAATACAGACGGTGTGCATCTGAATAGACCTTGAGGGGAAATGCTGCCCTCATCTGTCAGCAGAATACAGATGACTGATTATTCAACCTAATGGACGTGATTTCTCTTTGTCCTCGCTCAGTGTGCAATAAAATGACCAAGTCTCCGCCCATGAGTCCATTTTTGTGTATGGACCTGACCTACATCACCTGTTTACTCAAGGATGGCTTTGGCTTCAAGGACAGCACCATGCTGCAGGTCAGGTTGTGTTTACATCAGCTGTTAAAGGTCCTTGTTACAAGGATGCAATAGAAGAAACAATCAGCTGGTTAGGATTTAAATGTTTAGTTTCCACATTTACAAGTCAATTATTTATAAAACTTGCATCCCTGAAGAAATGCATATTACCCACCGACATTTGTCTGAGCTTGCATCCTCTCGCGTTGATACAGCTGTTTGTCAAATCTTTAAAAAATGTCATTCACAATCTCATGCCATATTAGAGCTTATGTGAATTATTTGTTAGAATCAGTCAATTATGTGTTAGGGGTGATTCTCAGCTACTACCACACATTTTAACTCTGTATCTGTAAAATTGACTGAATTAGTCACTTTGTGTGTTTGCTAATGCTGATTAGCTGTGGCAGCCATCTTGTATTGGGCAGTCTCTAAAAAAAGTTAACGAGTTGTAGATGGACATTCAGTTATTACTTTCTTTCATTAACCTGTCCAATATGGTTCATGATATATTTTACAGACCGACACATTATCACCTTAGCTGTCAATTTAAAAGGGGATGCTTTTTTGATAGGTAGAAGTTGAGCATTTCTCAGCCGGTTGAAGCAGATGACCGCTTGTCCTGATCCTGGTTCTGCTAAAGGTTTCTTCCTCATGGAGTTTTTCCTTTCCACTGTCGCCTTCATGCTTGCTCAAGATGAGAGTTCTGTGATGGAGTTAAATTCAAGGCAGTCTGCTCCTCAGATAAATTGTTAAATTATTATTTTTATATATTAATGTTTCTGTTGAGTGCCCTGCGAGGACTTTCCTGTGACTTGGTGCTATATAAATAAACTGAACTGAAAATTAAATACTAATATTCATTAACTGATACTCAATTGATTTTTTCTTTTTGTAAAAAGTCCAAAACTAAAGCTTTACCATTGCATCTAGAGTTTCTAAATCAGGGAATAATGAGTCAGTTCTTCACAAACTAATATTCTTTTTATTTGGTAAATACAAACATAATCTGAGCAATTATTTTCTCCTTCTAGCTGACAAAGAAAGTGAACAACGTAGAGGCGAGCTGGGCTCTCGGTGCCATGTTGGACCACTTCCACAACCTGAAGATCCACTGAGGAGCAGTGAAGAACACATCCAGACAAACGGAGGGTGATTTATGTGCCGCTCAGCAACAAACACGATGTAATGAGTACTGCCTTTTCTAACCACCCCCATACATCAGCCATTAGTTCAAATAGGCAGAAATAATCTCTACCAAATTTAAATTTATATTTTAAAAGCTATTTCTCTCAAGTGGCAATATATTCTGCTGTAAATCTGCAAAGTGTTGCATTAGTAAGAAGTGAAGCACTGGAGGCTGAATGAAAGATGTCAGGCAGAACTAACACAATTACTGCAGTGCTGAACCTAAGTGGATCTGCTGTTTTCTTGAAATAGACGTTTTACTCAAACTGATAAACAAGAGTAGTCTGGCTTTGCTGTGCAATACCGGTGTCTACATGGTGTGCTTAAGCTGTTTTTAATATCCAGTGTTGTTGGTGCGATTACGGTGCATTTGTGTCTGGTACATTTAAGTGTAACTGATGAAACTGAAACTTTTGTTTATCGTGAGAAAACATAAAACTTTTATAAACTCTTAAACCCATTTCTGTATTTCTTTGGGATCGTTAAAAAAAAAAAAAAAACAAGGAAAAAGTTGCTTAAACAAATACTCAATTCACACGTCACATCAAAATAAAACCATAGGTTGATAATTACAAATATCTACAAGCGTTAAAGTCTGTGATTAATCTTTCTTAATAAACAAATAAATGTTTTATTGGTGATTCCATATTTTTTGCCAAGAGTTGATGATTTATTCCACTGCAACCATCAGTCCAGTCCTGCTGAAATAAACGGTGTGTGATGTTTGTCGTGATGGGAGGCTACAGCAAGGCGACCACATCCTCTCCATAAGCATGGCCCTCCGTTGTCATGGTCACCAGCTCGTGTGGCTGAGAGAGAACCACCACAGAGTCCGCAGAGGCTGCAGGGAACGACGCATAAGAAGCCAAGTTAAACAAAGTACACAAAACCTTTTGTACATGAATACAAACTATTTGTACCACAAATACTCTTATAAAGGCATATTCATAAGGCAGTTCTGCTAAATGGCTGCACAGACTTTAGGTTTCCTCTAGCTTTTCATAAATCACAGATGAAGCCAGTCAGATGTGAGCTTTCAGAAACTAAATAGGCCGAACGGAACCAAAAAGATTGTGGAGCAGAACTCAGCTGGGCTGGAGCGGAGCATGATGCATTAAATGTGTGTTGGACATCTCCCTCATGTCATTTACTAAACATAACGAATTGACTCACTTTAGCGATCCTGTTTGTGGTTACTTTTTTTTTAAACTACAGTTGCTGTGTCATCAGTAGTTCCCCGGTGATCTAACTGTTTACTGATGTTTAATCCCACAAGTGGTGTGTCTTCTGAATGAACCGAGGCTTATCAAACTTATTAAAGTATTCTTTACCGTGAGAGACTGCAGAACCTATGGGAGAAAAACTCTTATCATAAACTCTTTAAATCACTCCTTTGCTCATAACAAGCACAGAGTACTAGGGGTGTCACAGGAAGGTACGTAGCTCGGTATGACTGAGGACACTTTACGGTTCGAATCTGTAAATATAATTTATCATTTTTACTGTAAGATAAAAAAGTCAAATTGTGCTATCTTTTTAATCCAATCCAAACTGTAGACAGAACCTACAGGCGACAGGTCAAACAAAACGTTGGATAAACTCCAGGAAGTTACCCCACTCTTGAAATGAGGAAAAAAAACTATCATAAAAAAGAATAAAATAAATAACAAACCAGGTATAAAATCCATCAATGTTCAGTCGGGTCATCTGGACGGTTTCTTTTGTTTTTGTGCTGACACGTTTCGCCTTCCATCCAGAAGTTTTCATCACATTGGCGTTTTGAACCAGTTTGATATGACTGTCGACGAGGGAGCTGGCGGGCACCGGAGGAGAGGGCGTGCCCCAGAGACCACCTTGGCACCACAAGAACCGTTTTCTTCCACTTGCTGTTGGGGGAGAAGCAGTTTTGTTTGGTGTTTCCTCAGACTGATGAAGCCTTCTGGATGGAAGGTGAAATGTCTCAGCACAAAAAAAAAGAAGAAACCGTCCAGATGACCTGACTGAAAAACAAGGGGTGTTTGCTTCAATTAATTTGACACATTAAAAGGCCAAACAAATCTTAATAACATCTGCTAATGTGAAAAGTCACAAAATAAAACACCTAGCTTCTCACCAAATGTGTGCCAGTATGGTGAGAATGAAGCTTGGCATTCAAATCACCTGACATAATGGGGCTGATTCTATGAAACAACTACTTCCCATACATCCTCCTCTGTCTCCCATCACTGCAGCGATTCTTGATTACTAGACAGCAGAGCTGATTCAAAACAAACAAGCAGAATTTTAAGCCTCTGTGTGTTGTTCTGAACCGGAGGCCATGTAACCATCTTTTTCAGACTATAATGTGCACTTAAAATCCTTTCATTTGTCTCAAAGTCAAGTCAACTTTATTTATAGAGCACATTTAAAGCAGAAACTGTTATCGAAGTGTTTAACAATAACATCGATGGGAGTAAAATTAATGAAAAAATAAACGCCACTCACTAATGATAATACTGAATTAATAAAAAGTATTTAAAACATAGGAACACAGAACAAAAACACTAAATCAACTCGCACTGTGTGAAATGCCAGTGAAAACAGATGTGCTTTTAGTCAAGATTTGAACACAGGAAGGGAGGTGGCCTGTCTAATGTTGGGGGGGCAGGTTGTTCCAGAGTTTGGGGCCCATGACTGAAAAAGCCCAATCTCCTCTGAGCTTCAGTCTTGTTTTTGGAACAGCCAAAAGCAGCTGATCGGACGATCTCAGGGTCCGTGAGGGAACGTAAGGTTCCAGAAGCTCAGAGAGGTAAAGGGGTGCGAGGCCATTTAAGCTGACCCCAGCATAGAGTGCATTGTAATAGTCCAATCTGGTCGTGACAAAGGCTTGGACTCAAAAATCGACAGTGAGCCTTATGCATTCATTCTGGTTGTACTTACTGACCTCAAACTGGTTTTATGTGGTTATTGTGAACGAGTTGAATAAAGTTTGACTTATTTGAATGTTTTGTTTCACTTAATGCTTCTTATAATCCGGTGCACCTTATAGTCCAAAAAATACGGTAAATAGAACATATGTTCCTTTGCTTCTTTTCTGTTGTGCGAGTTGACTAAATAAATCACGCGCCTGCTCTGGGAGTGGTGATCACCTGTGACTGATGCATTTGATGTCTAGTTTCCTGTCCTTGCCACAAACATCTGTATGAAACATGTGTAATGTTACAGGACATAATCAAAATGACACAATCCACGTTTTGGAATGTGGTAGTAAAACCAGCTGATAGTCTTTTTACATCTGCAGACAGAAACACTGCTGCTGACTGGTTCAGTGATCAACCATTAAAGACTTCAGCAACAGAAACACCTCGATACACACAGGAAATCTAGGCCGCTACATCAAGACTCCCCAACATGAATATGAAAACACTAACTGGACATTAGAAACAACACATGCTGACTCAGCATCTCTGACATCATCAGGACATCGTGGGCCTCCCCCCCAGTCAATGTCTTGATATCCTGCCCACCATTCCTTTTCGTTTTGTACCATCATGTGTTTCAGTGCCTACCTGGTGATCTCAGCATCGCATGGTGAAGATTCATTGGTTCCACACCTGTTGTCATGGCGACCATGCCACCTCCATTCTCACCGTCCGCCTCCAGCAGGCTGCTTTGTGTCAGAGCCTCTCCTGTCAGTGCAGACATTAAAACTTTTTTCTTACAACTAATAATAATAATTATTATTATTATAATGACAGAATTACAGTTCGTAAGTTTTTAAACCAAATCAGCTTTGAGCCATGTGTTGTCAGGCTTGTTTAAAACAGGAGAAATAATTATAAAATCGACTTTTTGATGTCTGTCAGAGACGATCTTTGTGTTGTTTGGACCGGGGGTATCCCAATACAATAAAATTAAATTACTCCTGTAATTCTGTTATGTATTACACAGAAACTACCCATCTGTTGAACAACTGCATCCTTCTGGGCTCTTCTTTCACAAACGACCAGCCTCTTCAGGGAGGCCGACCCGAAGAAATCTGTTGTTTATAATTAGAGCTTTGGCGGCGCTTCCTGCAGTGACTCAGCTGTGGTGCTTCCCTACCGCTACAGGGCAAACACAAAATGACAAAAGAGGCAAAGACGCGCCTTTCTGCTGTCATTTTTCCAAATACGAACTGAACTGTTCTGAAACAAACAGCTCAGTGGAAGTTGCTTTTAATCTGAAGAGGAGGTGAAACTGAAACCCAGAACCTAGGAGGAGTGTAAATACTCCCCAGCTGTGGTGGGAACTGATTCAGCTGTCTCAGTAATTTGGAATGCGAGGGCAAGACAGAGGAATAACATTATCACTAATAATGATAATTATGATGATAATGATCATTTTACAATGCGCTCCACATATTCTGTTATAACACAGAGCAGAGATGTGAACACGTGCAAACAAACCTGTCTCTCTGCTGTCACTACCCTGCACCTCCTCTCCGTGTCGCTTCCTCATGTGAACGTTTCTGCTGCCCGACTGGGAGAAGGTCTTGCCACAGATCCCGCACACATGCGGCTTCTCACCTGAGAAATACGCACACAGAGCTGAGGAAAAGAGCTATTTTTAACTCCCCTCCCCTCAAAAACATCCCCGTCTGTGAATTCAGAGAGAGTGCAGCTGTAAACTGCAGCGCTCACCAGAATGGACGAGCATGTGCTTCCGTAGACTGGAATACTCGGCGAAGGACCGCCCACAACCATCTGCTTCACACAGGAAAGGCTTCTCACCTGAACAGACACCTGACACACTCACATATTGCTCCACAACACAGAAAACTAATATCAAATACTGTAGTCCCTCGTTTATCGCGGGGGTTACGTTCAGCACAAAACCACATAATGATCCTAATAGAGTTAAAAAAAAAAAAAAAAAAGCTCAAATATCGGACCTCCAAGGGACCCTTCCTGCTCGAGATGCTCCCTGAGCCGGCAAGCAGCACTCAGATTAACCGATGAGGCTGGAAGTTCGGTTCTGGTCCAATTCCCGGTCGTTTCCGTACGACTCTCTGCATCACTGAGCGCCGAAGTCAAATAAGGACTGAACTTTTACGGATCGCAAGAAAACTTTCCCTCCATTTCAGCAGAAGGCAACAGCTGGAAGCACTGACGGGGCTTCTGGGTAATGTAGTCCTTTTGGCTGGCAGTACAGTGTAGGCTTATTGAGAGAAAACTACAAAATGGTGGCGCTTGTCCAAAGTATTTTTTTGTGTCAACTTTTTACTGTATCCAGCACTGTCCCAATCACATGAGTAATATTAAAGTGTGTCCTGTACAATTTTTTTTCTTGTGTACAATCTTATTTTGAAAAACCGCGAAAGAGCGAGTCTGCAAAAGTCGAACCGTGAAGTAGTGAGGGACTACTATATTTGCCTTCAAAGGGATTGTTTGCAAGAAAACACTAATAATAAAGTTTAGCAACTACTGTAAACTATACTACAATCATGAAAGTATCCTGTATAATCAAAGCTCAATATTGTAGATGGTCTGCTGATAACTAGAAGGCAGATTGTATCAAAAACCTCCTAATGTTCTTTAGAAAATACAGCAGAGTAGTGTTACAGCTTGCAGCAGTGAAATGGGAGGAGCCAGCACTGCTGACTCCTCAGATCTCCAGCCTTCGCTGCACAGAGGAAGCATTAACGGAGCGAATGGCCTGAGTCAGTTACTGCCTCCAGCGTGTTTGGACTTCTAGACGTCCATCTCTCCCGCTGCTCCCCCACCTGTGTGTATGCGTCTGTGGTTCTTCAAGTTTCCGGCCGTGGTGAACTTCTTGCCACAGTTCTTCTCTTTGCAGATGAAGGGCTTCTCGCCGTTGTGAGTCCTCATGTGAACCTGCAGCCTCTGCAGCACGTAGAAGCTCTTCCCGCAGCCCTCAGCGCCACACCTGAACATCCGGTCGTTCCTGGATGATGGGCGAAACAAAACGGCCAAGAGTATCACCCGCGCACAACCTACTTGCAAATATTTGCGATGCACGACACATTTGCAGCATCTCTAACATTAAGCTCCATTACTGAGTCTTTGACTTTCTGAGTGAAACATTTAAACCCAACGAGACAGCTTACTAGCAAATATAAATATATTACACCAAAATTTTTGTTTGTCAGAGCCTCAAATTTATGTCCAAGCTGATTAGAAAATCATGCAGAGGTCAGACAGAGCAGTAACTAACTATTCTTTTAAAACAGTATTAAATAATTAAAAGAATAGCACCGTATTTTCCGGCCTACAAGTCGCATCAGTCCAAAAATGTCTAATAATTTGGGAAAAAACAAATAAGTTGCATCGCCGTATAAGTCGCATCTATTATGAGTCACCGCTGACAACCTGGAAATGTGGGCCGGTGTTGTGCCAAAAATCGATTGGCTGCCAAATGGTGGCCGTGGGAGCGTGCATGAGAGGACTTTAACAAGAATTTAACAAGATTAACACTTAAAAACAATTATATGTTTGCTCAAAATTATAGTAAAGGTGCGTCTCAGTTTAACTTGTCCTTAATAAATGCACTTTGGTCAAATCAGCTGAATTTCAAAAGCCGATATGCAGAAGCAGCAGCTGTGCATTTCTTCGAAATTAACAAGATAACCACTTAAAAACAATTGTTTGCTCGACATCATAGTAAAGCTGTGTCTCAGTTTAATGTTTCCTTAATAAAAGCACGTCAACGGTCAGATCAGCTGCATTTCAAAAGTATCCGTTGCCTCGGTGCTCTGGGAGCGTGCAGAGGGAGGAAATCAGGAAGGAGGAACGCTGCGCATTTCTGTGAAATTTAACAAGATAAGCACCTAAAACAATTATTTGTTTGCTTAACGTTAAAGTAAAGGTGTAGTTGAACTTGAACAGTTGAACTTTTACTTACAAAATGCACTTCAATGGTCAAATCAGCTGCATTTCGCCGGGGCGACGCAGTGAAATGAAGCTGATTTGACGGGTGCTCCAGGCAGACAAAGGTGGCAGTCTATGGCAAGTCATTTGTGTCGATAATAGCCACTTTTACCTATTACATGACACAACAGCATGCCACACTAGTCGAGTGCCATCTAGCGGCTGAAAGTGGTAGTGTTCAATATTTTCCATGTCAGAATGAACGAAATCGTCAGATCTCAGCCAAAAATTGGGTTATAAATATGGGGAAAAACATAAATGAGTCACTTTGGCGTATAAATCGCAGTATATTCAAATTCGGTAAAAAGTTGTAACTTATAGGCCGGAAAATACAGTATGCTTATTAGTTTACGGTCATCTTGTGTTAGCGTGTGATTATATGGTGTCCAAGTCTTTTAAAGCGGTTTGTGGATGTTTACATGAAACAGTGCTTCAAACAAACATTGGGACACATCACGTATGTAAATAATATTTAGATTTAATAACTACAAAGTAGCTAAAGTATAAAATGACTTGTCACTTGGAGTGATAGATGGAAACCTTTAGGACGTTGTCACGTTACCTGTGTGTTTTCAGGTGGTATTTAAGATGAGCCGGCCAGGTGAAGGTCCTGCAGCAGCCCTCGAACGAGCAGCGCAGCACCTGCTTGGAGTGGGGGCGGCTGGTCCGAGGGGGCAGTGCCTGCTTGTCCTCGTCCTCCACCAAGCTGTGTGTGTGGTCGCCTAGGCAACCGGAAAGGGGGAAAGTGAGCGGGAGTCGTGCGGTAATCAACCCAAGAGTGCGAGTTGGCCGGCCTCTGGAGTCTGACTCTGTAAAATTACCGGCTGCTGACTTGAGACCTGCTGAACGACTGCAGGCGAAAGAAAACAATGCAGAGCTGAATGCAATCAGTCCCTTTTAACCTGACCAGACTCCCCGCTTTGAACATCTGTGAAGGCTCCCATTTTGCTCGTGGTGCGCCGGCAGTAATGCTCCTACAGCTGATAGCACAGTGCGTCTAAACTGATGCAAGTTAGTGGGAGAGCATCAATGAACGCAGCGGTTTAGTTTCCGAAAGAACAAAGAACTGCACTTTAACATGGGCCATGTTTTATATGCATGCACAACAATATAGATAAAAGTAGAAATGAGCAGACTTATTCCTTGAAGCGTTGTGCATCACCCACTGCTTTTCATGTCAAAGTTTTAGTTAAGCTAATAATGTTTAAAAATTACTACTTTTTGATTAAACCTTAAAAACCAACAAGTGCAATCTAACACTAAACAGTGTGTGTTGTGAATTACTCTCAGCTACTACCACGTTGAATTCTAGCTTAATATCTGTAAAACTGACTTAGACACGTTTGTGTTGGCTTATGTCAAGTAGCTAAAGATGAATTTTAAAGAAGCACAGCCAATGATACATTTCTGAGAGTTTCATTAAATATAGTCCAGCTGTTTATGAGATATTTTGCTAACAGGGTTGAATCCAACATTTAATGCTAAAGTTTTAAACAAAGATCTCAAGGAACGGAGGCCTCCACCTGTTTAATGATGGACGATTTCTTTTCACAAAGATGGCCTCCTTTACTCCTCTCTCAAACCATCGTTCCTCTCTGTCCAGGATGTGAACATCTTCATCCCTGAAAGAGTGACCGCTGGTCTGGAGATGAGTGTAGACCGCAGAGTCCTGGCCTGATGATGTTGATCTTCTGTGCTGGTCCATCTTTTAAACCATTTTAACTTTTAAACTAATTTCCGTTTATTATTTTTTCAAAGATTTGAAATAGCCAACAGGTGTTTATTCCTCACAGTTATTATCCAGATCTGAAAAAATGCTAAAATCAAGTTCCACATGTTTCCAGACTGCGTGGGAACCCTCTCATTTAATAAACCAAGCAATCCAGAGTGAGCTGTTGACACGAGCGGCTTTAGTGCCAATTAAACTCGTCGAATCAGCTGGAGATAAGAAAGATAATGCTTCAGAGGGGCCCAACAGAGTCGACAATCAGCTACACTCCAAAACAGATGTTCACAGATGCTCCAAGCTTTTAGTTTGGCGCTTTATGTTTTAACTCTGCTGTGGGTGAAATATCACATCGATACAAAAAACGAAAGTATTTACAGGTGCCCTGCAGTGTGCCAGATTATATTTTTTGTCGTGCCCCAGCACCAGCTGCCTTTTTAGGGGTGGATGAACACATTTTGCCTCATTTCCAGCTCCAATATCTATAACAAGCCAGTTTGTCAACATTTGGTTCAAGCTTTTTTTTGAAACCTCTTTATGTTAAACCGCTGTGTGTTTTTCTCAGTGAGCAGAGCTTCATGACTCTGCTCCCTCAGGCCTGAACTGACTTTACTTCTTTAAAAAAACAACAACATTAAAATCATCACCAGAGCAGAAACCATACGAACTAGATGATGACGAACTAGCAATGCTGTGATATTTACAGCTCCTGGGGGTGCTCGCTGTCAGACTTGTACATTCATCAAGACGAAGCCACAAATTTGTTTTGATTTGCCGTCTAATGATAAGATTTTAGTCACTGCTGATCATGCTATGAATTCATCTCCCTGACCTCATTTCTCTCCCGTCTTTGTAAGGAGATCAGCTGATCTTTCCAGAAATAACTGCTACTTCCTGTACACTACCGGTAGTTTAATTTTTCTGTCGTTTTACACTTCTATAAATAACAAACGGCTCTACGACGTCTCTGTTAGGCGTTACTTTGTGTTGTTTACCGTTGCCGACGCTCGCAGCTCTGGCGTCCTGGCTGGCCTTGGCATCTCTTGCGAGTTGGGCTCGTGTAGCAGCGATCAGGCTGTCGTGCGCCAGCTCCTGGACCCTCAGATACCACGGAGCGCTGCCGTCTATCCCGTAGTCTCCTGACGAGACGCCGTCGTCTTCATCGTCCTCTGTGCCGTCTGCGGCAAAGATCAGGGACTCTGAAGAGGCTGTGATGCCTGAAAGAGAAGGTGGAAGAAGAATCAAGAGCACTTCGGCGAACTGCCAGAACCCTTCTGGGTCGCATTTCTAAATTTAATTCTCGTACAGCTTCGCATGTCAAGAATCAAAAATGTTTTTTGTACTCTGCAGAGGCTAATGAGGCAAGAGAACAAGGCTGCCAAGGATGAGTTCTTATTGCTAAAAAATGCCGTTGTCCTTGCATAAAAATGGATCACCTCATTGTTTTTAGAGCTGCGTGCAAAAATCAAAGCACAGAAATGAGATCGGATCCACACGTCCACCGTTAAACTTTCTCTTCTCAAATGTGGCGCGGCCAAACTTTCATTATTTATTCTATTGTTAATTTTTAATTACCCGCTTGAGATGAGAAAAGAACATTTTTAAATATGAAAATTTATGTATTTATCTCTACAAAGAACCTTCAGTTATTTTCTAAAAGAAAGTAAATGTGCAGCTGGGAGCCAGTTTTACAGGATAAACGGATTAACTTGAGACACTTTATCAACAGATCAGTAGAGCAAGTGTTACCAAAAGCCAGAAGCTGGAGGATGATAAAGGAGCGTGTCACTTTAGCATGTAAAAGCAGCTAATGTTTACCTTTTGCCAGGTTCAGGAGGACGTAGGAGGTGTTGTCTGGCTGCTGGAAGTCGTGCAGGATGGATGGGGGGCTCGGTGAGGCTGGTGGCTGAGAGTGGGTCTGGACCACCAACGTGCTCGGCTCCGATACACCTCCAAACTCTGGCAGAGCGGGAGAAGTCTCTGGCTCATGGCTCAGGCCTCCGTCTGAGGAGGAGAACAGCGTTCATCAGATTGTCAGTTCCAACTAAAAATGTGAGCCACTAATTTAGGGTCTGAAAAGTTTACGGGCTTTGGCAAGTATGAAGTTCTGATCTGAGGCAGTGAATACTGACTCAGGTGTATCATAAACAATAATACAGGAGAGGTAGATGGACAAAAACAACTATTATTGTCTTTAAGGCTGTAAAATACAGTTCCATGTTTGATTTGCAGATAAACATCCTGACGTTCATTTATCTTAACATGATCAACACTTTCCAAATTTTTGATTTCTTTCTACAAGCAAATGAATAAGTCAAATAAATAAAACAATGAGAACATTTGACCCAGATGTCTCAGATATCTGAACTTATTTCACAATTAAAATTATTTTTAAACAAAGTTGGTACAAGCTAATTAAATTTCAATCAAAGTATGAGCCTAAATATGGACGAAGCACATCTTGATCAAAATGGCGCCGAGATGCTGTGAAATGAGGAAATTCAGCTACACGCAGTATTTGTGACCTTATTTACAAACCGGATTCCAAAAAGTTGGGACACTAAACAAATTGTGAATAAAAACTGAATGCAATGATGTGGAGGTGCCAACATCTAATATTTTATTCAGAATAGAACACAAATCACAGATCAAAAGTTTAAACTGAGAGAATGTATCATTTTAAGGGGAAAATCTGTTGTTTCCAAATTTCATGGCATCAACAAATCCCAAAAAGTTGGGACAAGTCCATTTCTACCACTGTGTGGCATCCCCCCTTCTTCTTACAACACTCAACAGACGTCTGGGGACAGAGGAGACCAGTTTCTCAAGTTTAGAAATAGGAATGCTCTCCCATTCATGTCTAATACAGGCCTCTAACTGTTCAATCGTCTTGGGCCTTCTTTGTCGCACCTTCCTCTTTATGATGCGCCAAATGTTCTCTATAGGTGAAAGATCTGGACAGCAGGCTGGCCATTTCAGTACTCGGATCCTTCTCCTACGTAGCTGTGGTGGACTAGGCCTGATGTCAAAACTGACCAGATGGACAGAAACTGTCATTTCATTGATTTGAATCCAGAAATACAGTTTGACCCATCCTGAGACTTTCTTTCTTGAATTAATCAAGTGGAAAAAACAATTCTCTATGATCATTACTATTTTACAAATGTTTTGATAATCAAATTGTGTTAGTTCAAACAATGTTTACATGTTGAAGTGAACTACTCATTTTTATTAACTGTGAAACAGTAAATAATGATCCTTAATCCTCATTCAAAGAAGAAATCAGGTTAATATGCATTTCTTGATTTTCTGTCTTCAATGAGCAAAGTTGTAAGTGTGTTAAAGTTCAAGCTTCGTCAACTAGAAAGTTTACTGAAAAGAAATGTCATGTTTAACTTTTACAGCGAGATACAGGAGAGGTGGCTCCACGAAGTCTGGTTTTGCCATGATATCTTTCTGTCTGTTCTTAAACAATTTGAATCTTTTCCTTGACTTTTAATAACACCTTACATCACAAACCACACCTCTGCTTTGGTCCATCCACCAATCAAAAAGCTCTCAAATGAACCGGAAGTAGAGCCCATTTAAATGTGGCAACTTCCCAATTCAACAGTAGAGTTCAGAGTGTTGGAATCCAGAATGTAGAGAGTTTGGGAGTTCCTGAATGCAGAACGCGGGCATTCAGGATGCTGCTAAACCAATCAAGCTGAACCAGAGACGATTTTGGGAATTATAACTTCTGTTTGGATAACCTCGCACGACTTTCGAGGTATTTGGTTGTTCTCACTGAGATGCTGAACAGTGGTTGGAAGTGAGACTCCATGCCGGAACTGATCTATCTTCAGAAAAGGTAAAAGTCGACCTTCACCAAAAGTGTACTGTTGGGACAAGCTGATTTCCGAAGGAGCGTGCACGTTCTGGTTAAAACGGACAAATTCCCTCACACATCTCTCTGTAAGATAAATCTCAATTTTCCATCTTTAAACTCTCCTTTCTGCTAGAAAATTAATCCAGATGTTTTCATTAATGTCTGTGGTGAAGCAACGGAAAATCATGGCCGTATGGTTTTCCTGGTTGTAAAGCTGATTAATTATGTTGTTGTTTTCATATTCTGCCAAATTAATGTAAATGTGTGATGTGTTAAACTTGATTCTGTTAATAAATGACCCACTCGCTTGGTGAGTCAAAGATAATTAACGTCTCACGTCCACATTTCTGTTAAATTCAAAGCACGACATCATCCAGTCCAGAAAGATGAGTGAACCCGTTTAATTGATGAATATATCTCAGGATATGTCATACTACATAGCCATGATGTTGTGATTGCTGCAGAATGTGGTCTGGCATTATCGTGTTGAAAAATTCAGGATCTTCCCTGAAAGAGATGACGTCTAGATGGGAGCATATGTTGTTCTAGAACCTGAACATAGTTCTCTGCATTAATGGTGCCTTTCCAGACATGCAAGCTGCCCATGCCACAAGCGCTCATGCAACCCCATACCATCAGTGATGCAGGCTTCTGAACGGAGCGTTGATAACAACTTGGGCTATCCTTGTTCTCTCTGGTCCAGATGACATGGCGTCCCAGTGTTCCATAAAGAACTTCAAATCGTGACTCATCTGACCACAGAACAGTCTTCCATTTTGCCACACTCCATTTTAAATGACCCCTGGCCCAGTGCAAACGTCTGAGCTTGTGGAGCTTGCTTAGAAATGGCTTCCTCTTTGCACTGTAGAGTTTCAGCTGGCAACGGCGGACGGCACGGTGGATTGTGTTCACTGACAATGCTTTCTGGAAGTATTCCTGAGCCCATTCTGTTATTTCCTTGACAGTGGCATTCCTGTTTGAGGTGCAGTGACGTTTAAGGGCCCGAAGATGACGAGCATCCAGTAGAGTTGTACGGCCTTAATCCTTACGCACAGCGGTTGTTCCAGATTCTCTGAATCTTTTGATGATGTTATGCACGGTTGATGATGATAACTTAAGGGTGCATTCACACCAGCCCCGTTTAGTCCGCTTTAATCGAACTCTAGCTCGTTTTCCTTGAAAGTCCGGCTCGTTTAGGGAGGTGTGAACGCGCCATCTAACTCTGTCACGGAACAAAAAGGCGAACTCTGGCCCGGGCTAAAACCTAGGTCTCGGTCCGGTAGAAGCGAACTCCAGCGCGGTTCGAGTACAGTGTGAATGTAAACAGACCGAGCCCCGCTCCGCAGGGTAAACAAACACGCATTGCTCTGACCTTATATGGAGCCGTCAGCTGCCTTGTGTGAAAAACGTTGGTTACGTACTGTAACCCCAGATTCTATGAGTATATGCGTAGCCCTTTAAGGCTGTCGCTTGGTGGGTTTATGGTCTTCTGTCTCATCTTCTGCTCATGCTAAGTCCATTTTTGAAAAATGACAAAATATAACTCCTAAAACTGCTAAAACTTGATGCCACTTCATTTTTATTTTTATTTACAGAAGAAGACGTGTCTTCAGAGGTTTTTGTGTCATTTCTTTCAGTAGGTCTTGGTGCAGCGCCCCCACAGGCGAGCGGGGGAATAGGTTGGTTCAACAGGTTGACTCGACTGCACAGTGCAGTGTGAATGCAAACGCACCAGCTCAAATGTAAACAAAAGCTCATGAATATTGGTCCCGAACCGAGTCTACCGGACTATCTAGTGTGAAAACGACCTAAAAGTCTTTGCTATTTTACGCTGGGTAACACCATTCTGGTATTGCTGCACTATCTTTCTGCGCAACAATGGTGGAATTGGTGATCCTCTTACCATCTTGGCTTCTGAGAGACACTGACACTCTGAGAAGCTCTTTTTATACCCAATCATGTTGTCAATTTACCTAATTAGTGTTAATTGGTCTTCCAGCTGTTCGTTATATGCTCAATTTCCTTTTTCCAGCCACGTATTGCTACTTGTCCCAACTTTTTTGGGATTTGTTGACACTGTGAAATTTTGAATCAACATATTTTTCCTTTAAAATGTTACATTTACTCAGATTAAACTTTTGATCTGTCATCTATGTTATATTACGAATAAAATATTGACATTTGCCATCTCCACATCATTGTATTCAGTTTTTATTCACAATTTGTTTAGTGTCCCAATTTTTTTGGAATCCAGTTTGTATGTTATCTCACTCTGCAAATTGATTGACAGCTGCTGATGATTGACATAACTCTTTTCATGCCTGTGATGTTGGTAAGAAAATAGCTTTCCAAATGCAAAAAAAAAAGGACCATCAGCCAACAATTGCTCTTTAATGCCCTGATGTCTTGTTCACAGAGGGCTGAGTGATGAAATTGCAGTAGGTGTGAGTTAAATATGGAGACCACCGCCCCTGTTTAAAAATGGACGGATTCTCTTCAGAAAGATACATTTACTACTCTCTCAATTCTTCTCCTAGAATATATAAGAATATCAATAGAATCACTCGTCCCCCGGTGAATAGCAGAGTTCTTATGATCAACTGTTAGGTTGATGGTTCTCCTTTTACATGTGAATACTGGTTCTGGCTAGCAGGAACTGGTTGAGTGCTATTTGACAGAGTTTTTAGCACCTCCTCAGACTGAAGAAGTCTTTTGAAAATAAGACAAAACATTTCAACAAAGACCAACAAAGTCCATGCTCAATAATCCAGGTATACAATCCAACAATTTTCAGTCAGGTCATCTGGACAGTTTCTTTTTTTTGTGCTGAAACGTTTCACCTTCCATCCAGAAGGCTTCATGAGTCAAGGAAACACAACACAAAACTGATTCTTCCTCCAACAGCTTACTCCAAAGTGGAACAAACTAGTTTTGCTGGTGCTAAGATGGTCTCTTTGGCACGCCCCCTCCTCCGGTGCCGGCCCTCTTCCTCGTCGACAGTCATGTCAAACTGTTTCAAAACCAACAAAGTCCATGCTCAATAATCCAGGTATACAATCCAACAATTTTCAGTCAGGTCATCTGGACAGTTTCTTTTTTTTAAATTTATTTAAGAAACGTTTCACCTTCCATCCAGAAGTCTTCATCAGTAACATACCAGTAAACTGGTATGTTCCACTTTGGAGTAAGCTGTTGTTTTATATATGTTTCCTTGACTGATGAAGCCTTCTGGATGGAAAGTGAAACGTTTCAGCACAAAAAATAAATAAATAAATAAACTGTCCAGATGACCTGACTGAAAATTGTTGGATTTTAACAAAGAAAAGAATCCGTTCAGAAGACCTAACTTAATCTTATTAGATTTACCTACTTGGATTATTGAGCAGCATCAGGAGATAAATTGTTCATGATGCTCCTGATTTAAAAAGGTTTATTCTTGTAACATTTCTGGACAAAAACATGTATATTTTGAACTTGGTGTTAATCTGTTATGATTGTGGTTTTGTGTTTGAAGGAATTTTTTTTATTTTCTCTCTAAAATAAACTAAAATTATTTTGCCCTGGCAAATATCTTTGGCTTCATATTTGATACGTTCATGTTTATGTTAGTAGAAAGTGCCTTTTTAATGTAGTGAACTTTAAAAAAATATATAAAACAGTACCTTAAAAAGGTTCTAAACATCTTTAAGTCATAATTTAATTTTGCGTATACTAATGAGATTACTCACAAAAATATTTGAGATTAATTGTGATTAAATTATTAAAATCTTTGCCCAGAACTAGTTTTTATTAAAAACGCACGGGTAAATAAGGATAAAGGTTCCTGTTGGAAATAATTCAGCTAACTTTGTGTCATGTGCATTATTCTGTACAGAATTTAAAACAGCAGAATTGCTCTAATAATAATTTTGTATGTTATGCAACTGTGAATTATGTGATGCAGACCAAACACAGAGATTTAGGACAGGTCGATTCCACTCACCTTGTACCCTTTCATGCTAATTTGTGAACATTGTGTGTTTAAATCGTGATTAAAATTCAGGATTAGTAATCTCAATAGCCTGCCACAAAGGAGGAGTAGCATTTCTAAGTAGCAATGAGTGTGTGCCAACCTGTGAGCTCCAGAGGAGTGCACAGGGAGCTCTCAGCTGGAGCCAGCAGAGGCAGGCAGGAGTGTTTGGACTCCGAGTCCTCCAAACTCTGGACCAACGGGATGGACGCGTTCTGGACAAACTGCACCAGCAGCTGACAGGAGCAGCAGCACAGCAGGATGAATACAAAACTAGTCTGCTGATTCAATAAACAATTTTAATTAGGGACGACACTTACCTCTGGTTTGGAGTCAAGCTCATCAGAAAGCATGAGTCAGCCTGTGGAGATCCCAGCTTGTCACAAACACAACAATAAGAAACCAACAACAGCAGGTGCTCATCAGACTGAACAAGAACACAAACCTCGGGTTGGACCGACTAAACAGGAATTGTTGTTCGGGTCAGAAGCTGCAGGTCATCTCCGAGTCGAACCCATCACACCAACGCTACAGTCCGTAACAAACAAAAACAGAGGCGAGGCTGAGGTCCCAACTTCACCGTGTTGCTCTGAGTAGACAGGTTACCTTAGCTTAGCTAGCAAGGTTAGCATGAGAAAAATAGTATCACTTTAAATAGTAAGACGCGTAGTAAAATTAGCCACTTACACAGTCTTAACGTTTATAACTCCTTTAATTTTCTAGAGGCATATATTAGTTTACATTGCAACAATCGAGTGACTGCGACACTACGAGAGAATAACTCAACTGGACTCAAAACAGAGCAGCTTTGAGCTACGGGAGCTGCGATGGAACAATGTTAGGGCACTTCCGCCCAAATTAATCACGTCTCTCTGCTGCCACCCAGCGGCCAAAGATGTTAACTCACCTGAAACCAGAAAACAAATCAGTCGAAAACTTTCACTTTTTTTCTTGAAGGCAAAATGTTTTTTTAAAGAATAAAAACTAGTGTAATTACAGTACAGCTAATGATCTGGTTTTATTGAATGCACAGGATCTTTATTATTCATTTTGTGAGTTTGAGAGCGAGAGAGAGCACTTTGGGATGCAAAATGTAACAATGCATTTTAAAAAATATAATTTATTACAGATAAAAACATGCATAATACATTTTTGATTTCTAAATTATGACTTGAATTGTGCTTAATATTTATTTTTTACAAGAGCAAGTTTTCTTGCTAATTTGTTGAATTTATTGCTTTAATATTTTGACAACTAAACCTGCAACATTGGTTTAGGGGGGAATAATGATTTTAAGTCAGTTCAGTACAAAACTAATAACTCAACAAATACAGCAAGAACATAATTTTTAAATATTTATTACACAGGAAATGACTCTAAACAAAAATGTATTTAAAAAAAAAAAGCCTTTTAAAAAAAAAAATCCTTTTTGCAATCTTGTTTGACTTTTGATCAGAATCATCACATTTAAATTTAAACCTTTGAGGTTTGAAACGTTGACACATAAAAGTCCTGGTTGGATAAATGTCCCAGAGTGGCGACTCTCATGACGACCTCCAAAGATCAGTGAATGATACCAACAAGATTAATGTTCGTTCAGCTAAATGAAACAGACCACAGACTGTGAGGATCCACAAGTTCTCCTCCTCCACCATAACCCTCAGCACTGGCTCTCCCCAGGGCTGTGTGTTGAGCCCCCTCCTGTTCACTCTGCTCACGTATGACTGCACACCTACCCATCCAGGCTATCACCTTTTGAGAATCACACCAAATATTTCCGTCACCATAATTGGTGCATTACTGAAGGGTTTTGAAAGTTGAAACTTTTCAGCATGTTCAAATAAAAACAATCTAAAACCACCGACAATTTAAAGCTGATAAACAAACGAGGAGTCCACAATTAGGTTAAAACAGCAAAAGTCTGTAAACAAGTCTTTACTTTCAGTCAGAAACATTGAGAAAATTCTGACACTTGCAGTTCTTTAACACAAATACATCATAATGTAATAACTCCTCACAACACAGCGCTGCTCTTTGTTAATAACCAACAAAAATGTGTCTTTGAGCTATTTTTAACTAAACCCTTTGACATTTGTTTACGCCTCTGCTTCTAAATGAGGAGGAATTGGGGAAACAAATTAGTTTGATGGGTGAAAATATCACTTTTATCTCTGAAGTTTAGGGGGGGAAAGGATATTTTTTGGTTGTTAGTCTTTAAAGCAACATGGAGTCTTTGTTGTTTCGAGTGTCACAACTTTATTTAGAACGTGGCATTTTAACAACTTTCTGTCTCATAAAGTCTCCATCACGTTTTGATGTGTAACAAAACATAATGAGCTTTCAGTAGAATGAGAACATGGATGTAAACAAAGTGAAGCAACATTAAATCTCCAATATAAGAAAGTACATTTATTAAAGGTTTTTATTAACACACACGTTTTTGAATGTTCAAACTGTAAAAAGCATTAATTTCTCACTTGCTGCTGCCATAAAGTCTATTATATCTTTACAGCTTTGACGTCTTGTCAAGTTAATTACTGAACACAAGAGACCCGTCTGCTTCGTCAACCTAAACGAGAAGACTCGAGCAGCTCGACGGATGGGCGGGAAAATAAAAGACAAATAAAAGAGGAGGGATGAAGTCCAATTTAAATCCCAGAGTCGTGTTAAGAGGAATGATGCAGGGGAGCAGGAATAAACATCAGCTCATATCTTTTCCGCTCATTTAGCAGTTCAGCAGATTTGACGATTCGGGACTGTGAGCGGTCGTAAAACAAAAAGAAGTGCATGACTGGGAGAGAGGATGAAAACTAAACACGTGACAAGATGCACTGCGGGGATGGTGACGAGTAATTATGAGCTCAAACCTGTTCAGAGCTGCTCTTAACTCACAAGAATTCACAGAGAACAGCAACAGACATCTTCACAGCAGCAACTATAAACTATTACACCCATCTCCGTAGAAAATACACAGTAGACTTGTTTGTTAAAGAAAAATACATGAAGTTACTCAAAACTCTGCAAAATTGTTGTTTTCGGGAAACAAGTTTGTCTTTAAAATTCCCAGATTCAAACAAAGAAACCAACAGATGTAGTTTTTACTCAAGTGTTGAACACTATTTGTACAAGCTGCTGCTCCTTATGACGGACTTTTAAAGGCAAAACAAAATCAGTGTTTGTAGCAAAAGATGTGAATATAATGATTACTGCTGTGTTCTTCTGCACAGCTCCCCACAGTGAGAAAACACTTGGCAACTGTTTTACACAGGACGCCCTCCCTGGGCTTGAACCTGCAGCCTCAGGATTATGAGACTGCAGCACCGACCACTGAGCTACCGTAGCCCAATCCGTGAGATGAAAACACTAAAGCTTCGCTGCTGCATTCAGGTTGCAGGTTTACGATAGTGATAATAATTCATGTAAAAAAATTTAATAAATGTCAGCTACAGAATCCGAGCTGCCACAAAACTGCTCCAAAGAAATTATTTTCCAGCATTCTTTTGATACGCTTCATTTACATGTAAGGCCGTTGTTTATGAACAAATATGTTGACAATTAAAAGATAATAAATTCAATATTCACTGAGTTTAAACAATATAGAGGTCCAGAGCTGACTGACAGAAAACAAACATTTATTATTTCAGGAACAAAATCTGCTCTTGACGTTGAACAGTGCTCGTTACGTTACGCTCGTGTGTACTGAAAAACAACCAATAATAAGCTTTCATTACAGGAGGAACCTTTTAGTGAGGTTTTTATCTAAGAGCCATCTAAACGATGTTTAAAGGCTTTACTTCCTGCCAGGACCCGTCATTAGCTGGATGGAAACTGAACCTGACACCGACGCCACGTCAAGCTGCGAGATGTTTTCTGAGAAGACACTTCAGGTGCACGTTTGTCTCCGACGGCCAAGAAAACATTCAACGTGTTACAAAACAGCTGAGCTTCTCATATTTACTTTTATTCCATCATTAAACTGAATGAAGTCTTGTCTTATGTTTCTGTGATAATCCAGATATTCTGCGGAAATAAACTCGCCGTTAAAACCAAAGTGTTTAAAAGATCTGCTGCCACAACTACATATTTTATTTAGTCGTAAACCTCTTTTTTTGTGCTTTTCTTCTATTAAACATTGCGTCTCAGTTAAAAACGCACTTTAAAATATTAATCCAATACAATGTGTTTAAAAGGGCAAAATAAACCAGTTGTTTTTCCTGATAAAAATCTTTGAGGGATTTTTTTAGATTGTAATTGGCGCCGAGCTCTGAGCAACTCGAGAACAGTTTCAGCAGGAGAGACCCGGCTCAGACGGAGCGGGGAGTCTGGTTTCTGGCCTTATCCGACCCCCAACGAGCCCAGCTCACAGGAAATGGACTGCGCTTTAAATGAGTTTAGGGTTGACCAAAAAACATGTAACACAAACGATGTCCGCCTAAAGGTTTCAAATGTAAATCTCTGACGTTCCAGTCTACAATCTGAGCATTTACTTCTCCTTTGATCGTCTGTTGTGTTTTACAAAATCACTCTGACCAAAACAGTTCTGGTGAACTGGAATCCACAAACAGTTACAAGTTGTTACACTGACAGAATTAGAAATAACAAATATTCTGATCTTTTTTAGGTTGGCGTGGTGTGTCAGGACCCTAAGGCAACCTGCAGATAAATGTAGGTCACAGAGACCTGTCAGTCAGAGTCTGGGGGAGGGGTCTGTTATGGGAGCGCTTTACTTTTGGTCCATGTGTCCTTACACGCACCGACCCCCGATTGTGGTCTTCCTCTCGATTAAGTCTAAAGGATTACGGCCTCCCACTTGTCTGATCAGCTTTGATGCTGCTCGGAGGAGCTCTCTCCCCCTCCTTGTCCTCCTCCTGAAGGCTGGCCTGCAGTTTTACACAGAGGCTGGTGTCACCGGTCTGCAGGACCTGAAGGAAAAGGTCTGTGTGTTTTCTGAGTCGGTCCAGGTCGTTCTGGGTGCTTTGGTTCTGCCTGAGGAGCTCCTTGGTGCGGAGCGTGATGTCCAGCAGACCAGATTTGCTCAGGATGTTGTACGTGTTGCAGAAGCGCTTCCTCTTCGAGTCAGAGTCGCCGTCGTCGTTACATTCCTGCGGCGAGAGGAGCTCCGGCGTGCCTGCCTGGGGAACAGGGAGTGCCAGGGTTTTGGAGCCGGTGAAAAACAAGGAAGTTGTAAACTCTGCCAGGTTGGTATTGGACGAAGGCCTCTCCCTGACAGGACTGCTGCTGCTGCTTTCTGCTGCCGGGAGAGAAAGTCTGCTCTGGGGAAGAGGAGACACGACACCGCGAGCACCAGGAAGCGCAGGAGAGGCAGATTCAGAGTTATTACTGCTACCACTGAGTCTCTGAGTCTTCTCTCTGTTACAGTGTTCCCAAAGGTTGGAGGTCAAAGCGCTACATCTCTCCGACTCTGAAGAAGACGAGGAGGAGGAAGCAGTTCCTCTTCCTGAAGAACTGGAGCCGTCCCCAGGATGTGGGGCGATCTTAGGGTAGGATTTCAGGATTGGAAGATACTTTTTGGAACGTCTGTGCTTAGAGCCGGCCTCTTTGGAGGCAGAGGAAGCTTGGCAGGAAACCACAGGCTGGAGAAAGACCACTTGAGGCTGCGGGACCACGGGCTGCACCACCTCCACTGTGGGACTGAACCCCCAGGGTTTCAGAGCAGGAGGGTTATCTGCAGGCTGCGAAGACGGCAAAATCAAAAACGACAATTAGTCTCATTTATTTTTTTAATCGCTTCTTAAGAGATCAAGAATGTTGACCTTTGAAAACCAGTTTCTTCTTTTTGTTCTAACATCAATTCAACCAAAATGTGAAACATTTGCTACATTTTTCTGTTAAAACATAACAGCACAAGATAATATTTTCTCTTGTGTAATATTCCTCTCCCAGTTATTTCTTAATGCCCCACAAAAATGTCCTTTAAATGCATTTCTCTAAAGCTCCTAAAATAATCTCTGTAGGACGATGACCACGATCTTACAATGAATCTTTGTTTCTAACAGGGCTGTCTAACACCTCACACACAGATGGGTCATTCTTTTACTGAATGACACATTTGACCTCATCCGTGCAGCATTTTAAACTTTAATGGCCTACATTTATTGGAGACGGCTGTGGTTATTACACTTGTTATAACCCCATGCAAGATCCTGGAAGCGGAGCTGAAAGGGGTCTCAGTTCAAGTCCCACCCCTTCACGTAAACAAACAGAACTTTGCCCTTATAAAAAAAAAGTTTGTTTTTTTCCAGGTGTAGACTTTTGTTGTTTTGCGTAGTTCTTACATTTCTTCTGTATTTTAAAACGTTCATTTTTCTAAAGCGTCTACCTGTAAATAGTTGTGTCATAATTAAAAGAGAGATCACGGGTATACTGGGTGCAGGGAAGCACGCAGCACTTAAAGCCCCACATCTTGACTGCACAGACGTTAAGTTTTAAAATTACAACACAGCAGCGCCCATAAACTGGGACCTGCTGGCTTCAAATCCCAACAGCATGAGAAGGCAGGGGCATTAGGTTATTACAAAAAATGTTGAATATTTTACCACAAATTAATATGGGAACTTATTGAGTTAATAAATTATGTAAAAGATAACGGGTAAAATAGCTGCTAGTGTTCCAAGTGACAAAACTCATGTTAACATCAAATGGATTCAAGTTACAAATATTTTACGCCATAAACTCTGTGTTCAGGAGAGGAGTGTCCAAAAATGTTAGTTGTGAAAAGGTCTTGCGATGGTGATATGACTTACGGCCTTTTTCTGGAAATTGCCTCAGTTAGCTGAGCATAACAAGAGTTCTTTTGGCTCTTAAATTGCTCTTCATGGAGTAATATTGTCAAAGAACCAACTCCAAACCAGATCATTCAGTTCTTCAACAAATTCTTTAAAGGGCTGGTTCTCAAAGAGCCAGCTTTTTAAGAATCAGCTCAGGGGCAGGGTTAACTAGGTTAACAATATGCAGCATTTTATTTCAGCTTCTAACTCGAGTCGTCACGTTTTAAAAATCTGTTCGCTTACAGAATACTGATATTTTCTGGTGTTGTTTGCAAACAAAGCATTCAAACTTTGCCACACATGTACTACTGCAGGTCAAACGTTACTTAAAATGGTGACTGAACAGAGAAAAACCAGCTTTAAAGCAAAGCACTGAATATGAAAACCATTTTCAGTTTCCCTTATGAGAGGAGGCAGAGATGTAATTTATTACACAGCAAAGGCTTTATTGTGTTACCTGCTTGAGCAAAACGTTGTTCATTATGATCATAGGAGAGAGACCGGAGTAGGAGCCTCCCACCACAGCCACCCGAGAGGGGCGTGGGCCTGACCCCCGCTGTACAGCGGACCGGGGTGAATCCTCCGAGTCCGTCGTCTCCATTATGCTCATGTGCTCCGAGCTGGCATCTATAAGGCAGACAGAACTATTCGTGAGCACTCATCTGAGCGACAACCGATATTCAAGTCATATGAAATGATGCCAGGAGTTTGTCCGAACCTGAGAATCCAGAGTCTCGCTCTGAATCAGCCTGGGAGCCTCCACACTTGGTAATGCGTGGTTGGTTCGGTCCTCTCAGGTGACTATCTGCCTTCCTCTTGGTGCTCATCTCCATTTTTCCTGCGTTACTCGCAATGTCCTTGGATCCACAAGCGCTCACAAAACTATTTCAGAATATCACAAGATAAACATGAGAATGAAACAATGCTGAGCAGACTCTCTTGCAAATTAATGACACGCTGTAGAGCTATTACATTATAGTAAACAATCATTAATACACATTAAAGAAAAGTCATAATACTTGGCACTGAATCAAGATGACAACAACGAAAATATTTCTCACATGAGCAATACTTCTTCCTTGTTAGGTTGCAACAGTTCATAAATATACGAGCTAGATTTATAATGGTGTAAAAACCATCACAACTGAATAATAGAAAATCCATTACAGATATAAAGTTCACTCATCAGTGTCTATTGTTTCTGTACTACAAAACGCTGAAATAACGTGGTTAAAATGAGCTAATATGACAATGTTAATACGTACATAAAAGCAAATATTTTAATATTAAGAGGACAAAGGTCTAAATGTTGCTACGGAGCCTGTTAGCTTAGAGCGCTAATAGAAGCTACACATGCTAATGAGCGTAAACTCCCAAGAAGTCAAAATACTCGATAGAACAAACTAAAACAACACAAAACAACAAGCATATAAAATATATTTCCTACTTTTCTTCACGGTGTGGCTCCAACGAGGCAGTTCTACAAGCTGACGCTCGAAAGTCTGCATTTAGGTCGAGGACACGGATGTTTCAGCTACTTTTTTCTTCTTCCTAGGTGTCGGTCGCTGCAGCCGCCCTGCTACGTCGCTGCCTGCGGCTCGCTATCCACGGTACGGAACACGAGACAGACCGCGACTCCTCCCCCGGTCCGCTCCGTCACATGCGGAGCACGGTGGCGAGGGTCGTTAGCAAATACGGTTTAATTGACTGGTGAGCGTCAAAACGGACAATGGGTTTTCAAAAGTGAGTTGTTTTTGTTAGCTTGAACCCACCGCCGCGGCTACATAACGCTAAAAACCCGACAGGAAAGAATATGCGTTACAGCCACCGGTCCATATTTGGCAGTTGAGGGCGTGGTTTCACGTAAATATTTACTTCGTCATGCATTTTTGGTTGACGCCTCCTGTCATGTGATGGTCTTCCAGGCTGCTGATTGGCCAGCTTCGCCAGCAGCTGAAAAACGTGACCACAGCCAAAAGTGTGGCAAGCGAAAGGACTACGTGTGTGACTGAGAGACTTGTAGTTAGGATGGAGCGTCACGGTGCAGGCTTTGAGGGCTAGAGTGACGTGAGACTGTCTGGGTGCGTTATAAATGTTTGACCTGAAGCTAACCTAAGCAGAGCCAGGCCTCTCTGCAGCAAGTCTCATGTAGTAAACAAAGCATGTGTGTGCTGTTTAAACGTTTATGCTTAATTCTTGGATAGCCCTGTGCACAATATGAAAAGCATAAGGAAAACCTTTAACACAACTGCTAAAAAAGAATATAGTACCTGATCTTACATGTAAAAACTACAACATGATTATGGCTGATAATAACTTAGGATAAAGTCGTTGCATCACTTATGTAGCCAACTTTATCTTCTTTGTTTAATTAGTATTAGATAACAATCCATTGCTTTTAAATCTAACCACATGTTTATCATCTTATATGATTGTATGTACGATGTTGGAAAAGCATTTCACGTTAACACAGTAATGACTCTGGTGCTCTGCATGAAGAGAGTCTGACCATGAAAGAGCCTTTTTAGAGTATAATTTTATTTCTTAAACTTGTCAGGAGTCGTGTTTAAGAAGCTTGCAATCAATTTACACACGTTGATTACGGCATAAATCTCTGGTTCATTAAATAAACAACTCTTCATTCTGTTCTGCACCCAAGATGCATTGTCCTAACCTTACATAAAGAACAGCCTGATACATACAACTGATCAAAAATTACATTATTTTAAAAAGGGTATGCTGAAGATAAAGGTAGTCTGGCAGAAAATTCCTCCACAAACATTTGTTTGTCAGAAATTAGTGAAGATTCGTCTTCTTTTGCTGGAGCAGATACCTGAAAGACACGAAAAAGTAGAAAGCAAATGAGTTGAAATTGGTTCATGTCTGCATATTGTTTGAATTTCTGAATTTAGTTCACGTCCAACTTCTCGTACAGAGTATTTGTTGTTCGTCAGTCACAGAATCACAGTTTGTTCTCTGCGCTTTAAATGTGTTCCAACACTGACTAAATGAAATCAATCTGGTGATCAGAAGTTTTAGCTTCACATTTTGAGGCATCCCTGAACAGAAACATTCAAAGGAACTATTTACTGGTAGTTTGGTGCTACGGAGTTTCTTAGGTTCAGAGTTTGAACAGATTATCTTTGGCTTGATTATTGTGTGATGAATATCACACAAAATAAACAAATGCAATAATTACAGAACTTCCCAGAGCTTCATATTACATATACAAATTTACTTTTTATATGACTTTTTATTTTTGAGAGCCAAAAATAACAAAATCATCTAGAGAAATGGCAGTTTTAGGAAAAATTTGAAGAGTTAATAAAACTGAGTTTTTAGCAGAACTTTGGCTAAAAGTAGCAAAACACGAGCTAAAGATCAGCTGGAAAGTGGCAAAATATACTTTTGAAGAAATTAGAGAGCTCAATGTTTTTCTTTGGGTAACATTTTTGTATAAAAAAAAAAGTTTAACATTTTGGAAATAATAAACGTCACAAATAAAAACCCTAAAGTCCCAGCGCCCATCTTAGCTGAACATTTTCACATGAATGGCTCATATAGCATAAAAGTATGCAGAGTAGTTAGATTGCTTGGAAAAAAGTATCTAAAATGTTAATTAAATACAAACAAACAAACAGTTAAACAACAACAACACGAATGCTGAATCATTCACACAACAAACTGAAGTAAATCTCCACCAAAATGATTCTGACACCGATGAACAGAGCAACTTTAACGTTTGTTTTTTTCCAGCTATCCAAATTCAATTAAAATATATTTTATTAATCCCAAATGGAAATTAAATGTTGTCAAGGTCAAGGTTCTTCATCAGCATTTGCATCATATGGTACATGTGGTGGAACGAAATTGTGTACAAAGGGTCATAGGTCAGCAGCATGAAATAAATCAGCAGCATGAGATCAGCAGCACATATTCAACAATCAAATACAGTGATTTTTCTCAGTGATTATTCTGGTTAAAGATTCATGAGTCTAACAGCTTCAGGGTAGAAGCTGTTCCTCAGTCTAGTGGTTCTACACTTAATGCTCCTTAACCTCCTTCCTGAGGGGAGCGAGGCAAAAAAGTGTGTGTGCTGGGTGAGTGTGGTCCTTCATGATGCAGGTGGCCCTCTTCCTGCATCTGGAGGTGTAGATGTCTGTGATGGTGGGGAGGCTGACTCCAACAGACTTCTGTGCAGCCTTCACCACTCTCTGCAGAGCTTTTCTTTCTTTCTTGTAACTCGTCGTCTGGTTTCGTTAAAGAGTTGTTATAGATGCTGGTGGCTGTGGGCAGGAAGGATCTCTTCTGTCTGAAGAAGCCTCTGACTGAAGACTGTTGTTGTATGACGGTTGTTGCAATCAGCTCAACACACAGCAGTGTCTATTCCTCTCGTGTTAGAACTGCAGTTTGGACCTTGTGATTCTGCTGAAACACTGACTGTGTGCTCTATGAGAAGGTGCTCATCTAGCCCTGAGTGTGCTTTATGAAGAAATACAGTAGAAGCTAAAGCCATGTCAAAGTGCATCATTGCTGTTTTAAGTCTGGAAAGGCAGGAAAACAAGACAAACCATATCTATATATATATATATAT